TGAAAGGGTTAAAGTTGTAAGTTGTCAATACACAAACAACTCCCAGACTGGGCAATGCTGTGGTAGTGACCTGTCAATCACTGTGTAGCCCCGCCCTAAAGCATCCCCTGCTTTATGGTCTGTTTGACTCTAAATGGACCATAATTTACTAAATGAACATCATGCTGTATTGAAGAAGACTTGAAACTAGAGATTGAGACCATAAACTCATGTTTACAATGTTTACTGAGGTAATAAATCAAGAGAGAAGTAGAGTCATTTTCTCATAGACTTCTATACAACCAGAGGAGTCGCCCCCTGGTGGACATTAGAGAGAATGCACGTTTAAGGCACTTCTGCTTTTGTGTAGCTTTCTGTAAGATATCATGCAAACCGTTGAGGATGGATTGATCATAGTTGTCATGCACAGATATTCTAGAAACAAATGAGGTTAAAAATGTAAGTTATTGGGCGTTAAGAAATGTGATTGTGTGTGATCCCAGGTTCTGGAGTGTCGACGTTCTGCCTAACGATAGGGTTGGCTTAAACACGTGAAATCCCAGATTAAGTAGCTAATCTGACAACTATAAAAACCTCATGGTTCTGTTCTAGATCAATAGTGTGACTGTCTTTGTGTGCATGTCAAGGTTGGTAGAAAAGTGGACGATCTCAAACAAACTGTCCCTGATGCAGGAAAGAAAGGAAGGCTCGTCGGTGGTTTCATTTGCTTGGACTTTTCAAACAGAGCTGATAAATGAGCGGGGGAGGGGATAATAACACAACAGTGTCGCCGTTGTTTGTGTGGAAGTAACAGAAGCAACATTTCCACTGTGACCCCCTCGGCTGCTCGAGGGCCGAGTTGACAGAATGATCTCGAGCCAGTGAACTGTGTTGGGCATGTCATCTCTTGGCACTGCCACATCGCTTCTCAAGATGAAGTAAATAAGTGCATTCGGACACCACGGAGCTGCTCAGCGCAGACATTTGACGGTCCACACATCACCGTGAGGCTGTCGTGTTCATTAAACATTCGGCTGATTGCTCTCACAACAGGCCTGCTTATGGGCAAGTGGAGGACATTCACTTTTTAAACAGGCTCCTTTCTCTTTGCATGTGAAATGAGATTGGGCATCCAGCTGACAGCTTGACAGTCTGTTGGCAGCACTTGCCCGGGGGACAGCAGGGGCCAGGCCTGCACGGGCACGGAAGCAAAATGAACACAACCGTAGTTTGTCCTCTGCCGTGCACAGCTGTAAATTACATGTGTCACCGAGTCCTCCAACAGACCAAGGTGTCGCTGTCCGTGGCTTTATGGTTCAGCTGCAGCTTCCAGCAGGTGGTCCAGCTCCCGCCATCAGCTGACTCACAGCAAGTGAATTTATTCATTTAAAAAAAATACATGAAAACTATACAGCATCCATCAAGAATCTAATCACAATAAGGCTTTTTGGCTGATTCAATTGTGTGTCGTGTCTGGACGATGACCCTAGATTTGTGAAAAATACTCTACTCGCTGCCCGACAACCTATCCTGACCTAACTGTTCAAGGGCAGTGCCTAACCTCAACCGTCTACCATCTAGACACGACCCTCCAACATACAGCACAATGACGGCACACAGCCGGGCAAAGCTAAAGCCTACATATTCAAGGTCTCTTCATCATCTCTTATAGCTGCTATTGTAGACTGTCTGAATGACATCAACTGTTGGATGGCACAACATTTTCTTCAACTCAATAACTCAAAATCAGAAATCATAATATTTAGGCCCCCAAACCCTATCACTCCCATTAAAGGGCCCTTGGCCCCCTGTCCGTTAACGTAAAGTCCACTGCCAGAAACGTAGGAGTAGTTTTTGATTCAGATTTAAGCTTCAAACCACAAATCACAAAAGTCTTCCAGTCCTGTTTTCTACAAATACAAATACACATCAGTAACGTCTTGCTGCTTTCATTACCCGCAACCGGTTGCCAGATATTCGTCTCTGTTAGTATCGACTGTCCTCATCGTCCCAGCAACCTTAACCTGCTTCTATTACAGGCACAGTGACTATTTGTGTTCTAGTTATTCTAACCTCATCATCCCCTTCGTTGTGTAGACACCAGGAATGTCTCAAATAGTTCCAATCCAACCTGCAGATGATGACATATTTCCCAGGATAAGTGGAAACATTGACCCTGCTGGTGGGGTCACAGCAACATGTTATTTATGTCCATCTGCACATGATTATAGGTTAGTATCCTCCTGCTGTTTGACAGGCAGATCTCTGAATCATTGCCAGTCTCTGTCACTTGGCAGTTGAGGAATAATCCTCTCACAGGTTTGGCTGCTTCAGACTGCTGCATGTTAACACTGTCTGCCGGACGTGGCCTCTTGTTCTGAATACCAGAACAGTAAGCTACTATAAAAATACTGCTCAACTCATTCTTCACTCTTTCATTTTCACTGCAATGACTGGTTGTTGACTATAAGGATTTTGATAAGTGCCTTATCCCTTGAATTGAAGCAGTGAAACAGAAGCTTGGATCGCGTTTTTATGTATTTTTATAGCTTGAAAACAACTATACAAGCTCAGCATGTGGCTCACTAGCCTGGAATACAAGGTTTTACTACCAGTACCTTTAATAATAATGGTTTGTGAGAGCAAACACATTTTCAATAGAGAAACAAAAATAAGGAAAAACATTTCTGGCATGTGGATCACATTGTTTTTAATCAACATAACGAGACACTTTCAATCTGCAAGATATCTGCTCTTGGCAATTTAAACATAATCAACATTTGTATGGTTATGTTTAGCGGTAAAACATAAATTGAAACGTCAACACAGACAGTAAGTGTTGACTTTTCAATATATAACCAAACACACAATCTTCCCCTGACCTCAACGCCCCAGCCTGACGGGGACGCTGCTGTCAGTCTACACATCTCACAGCGCTTCACTTAGAACGTCTAAAGCATTGAGACAGAGTGCAACAGAAAGGGCATTTCAACCCAATTAACAACTCCCATTAAAAATCCAACAGCATCAAAATAAAAGAATTGCTAAAAAACATTAAGACGGGTATAAAATGCAAGTCAAAAATGTAGAGTGCAGTGTAAGATGATTGAATAAAAACAAAGATCTAATGCCCAGTGTTCTTAATACTCTGATTCTGACTGTTTTGTGAAGATTATTTGCTGGCCCCTCTCTCACTAAGCAGCTGTTCCAGCATGAGCCAGCTATGACATGTCTATCAGCAGCAGGTTATTGGAGTGCGTGTGTTAAGAAGGTAACTGTTGCTGCATGTATAATCCACAGCTGATGAGCGCTCACACTAAACTTTTGTCTCTCTCCCAGGAGGCACCCTGCAGTTCACAAAGTGAAGCCAAAGCTTCATGTGTTAAAGCTACATTCTCTCTAGTGTCCACCAGGGGGCGACTCCTCTGGTTGTATAGAAGTCTATGAGAAAATGACTACTTCTCTCTTGATTTATTACCTCAGTAAACATTGTAAACATGAGTTTATGGTCTCAATCTCTAGTTTCAAGTCTTCTTCAATACAGCATGATGTTCATTTAGTACATTATGGTCCATTTAGAGTCAAACAGACCATAAAGCAGGGGATGCTTTCTCCTGAGCTACCTGCTTCCCTGTAGTGTCCTACCCAGGATAGTGGGCCCTCCTGGACACTGTGCAGCTTTAACAGAAATGAAACCTAGTTATTTAAAAGAAAACCTCTTTTCTTTTGTCTTTCTTTTCTTTATATCTGCAGTAACCCCAATAATTGTTATTCCACACGTTAGGAAGTTTGAGTTTCTTTTCATTGCTAATGTTAAATTTCCTAATCCCACGTGTTATTGTACTAAAAGAACAACTTCTTCTTCCTGTGTGCCTCCTCGCCTAAGGAACAGAGGGGTTAAATGCCATTGTGATTTGAGCTTTCATCTTTGCAGCAGACACTCGGCTGCTTTAAACACTGTCATGCATTCTTCAGTGTATCGCCGTCACCTCATTGTCCTATTTCTTGTGCCTTCCTGTGACAGCACTCCTCCTGCAACTTAAAGATGGCACACGCTCTCCTCTCCTCTCTCTGTCTCTGCTTCTGGTTTCCCTCAGATGACTCAGAGCAGCAGGCCATTATACCTCTCCCTGGGATACAGACGCTAAAGTCAAAAGGGCCGTGACAGGTTGTTCCACCCACAAATACCGCCTCATACTATGTACTACAGTATGACATCTCTTTGTGCTTTTTCTAATGGCATGCTACTATGATACCTTTTAGGTCATAATAAACTGATCTTTTTGAAGACTTCTTCATGGCATACTATATACTATGGCACGTTTAACATATTGTACCGTAGCATTTTTTATAAAAAGTTCTCATGACGTACTATACTTTTCATAGCATACTGTGCTATGATATTCATTATGACCTTTTTATGGCATATAAAATAATACTTTGACATTTTATGGCAAACTGTTCTGACATACTACCCTATGAAACTTTGTTTAACATATTTTACTATATTATTTAAGACATTTTATAGCATACTATACACATTTCAATGGCACACTATACTACAGTATTTTTAATAACATACTAAGCTACAACATTGTTTGATGACCTTTTTGTGGTGTACTATGACAGTAAACGGTAAACTGGACTTGTACTTGTATTTCTCTTTTTCACTCAAAGCTCTTTCACTCTCCATGTCATCATTCAGCCATTCACACACTGATGACGGGGCTACCATGCAAGGTGCCACCTGCCCATCAGGACTCTGACTAATCACCCACACCATTCATCCACCATTAGGCACAGCCTACGGGACAAGTGATGAACACACATAACCTCCATATTCACCAAGTCGAGTCTCTTACATACTAATGAATCATGTCTTTTTGAGAGAAACCATCTTTATGGAGTTTGGTTATTTTCCCAGTCACAGTTGAGCCAAAGTAATAAGTAAACAATAGATGTTTATATATTTTCAAGCAAGAGCAAAAGAGTTAAGTGCAGATGAACCTTGTTATGTTGACACTTCTTCATAAAGGTCTTAATGTGTAGCTTGTTTGTGGCAGTATTCTTATATGAGCTGTTACATGATACTTCCTCACTGTATTGGCCAATCACTTGTCTTTTTCCCCCTCAAGTAAATTCCAAACAGTCCAAACCAGTTTCTTACACAACACACCTGCAAACTGCCTGACAGCAGCTCATCAGCTCCCACAGTGCTCGCGCTGACTGAAGGACTCAGATATGGATTTCCAAGAGCAGGTAAGAACTAATAACAAAGAAGTAGCACAGCTCTGAACTTTCTCTCTATGGAACAGTGACAACGGAAATGCTAAATATGTTGAACCTGATCAGACATCTGGTAATGCTGGAGCATGATCACCTGTATTCTCTATGACTCTGACTGTCCTGTAGGCGGTGTACAGTTAGTCAGTGCGCTGTAATAGAATACAGCAATGTGACGCAGTCTTCCAAAGGAATAAAGACAACTCTAGGAAACACATTCTGCATTTTTGTATTATATTGAATTGCATTAATTAAGCAGATACTTTTGTCCAAAGCAACTTTGAATATGTGCAGTCGACCTCCGTTGGACAAGAACTAGATGTGATCACAACTGTTAGAACATGACTTACAAACAAACAAACAAAGACGGGTGATTGGTTTTACATACGACCAGTATTTACCATGACTATGGAACTTGTGACCGTGACTCTGCCTGAACTCAATCTCGTTAAACCTGCTTCCAGGCGGGACAGGGAGTGGAGCAGGGTGGAGACGTGTCTGAGCCAGATTCTTGTTTTACAATGATTGCAGGTTGAAGAAATCACATCCACTGCCAAATTTGGAGACTTGATAGAATTTGCCTACCCCATCGGATATTCACACTGGGGAGTTTATGATGAAGATGGATATGTATTCCATTTTGCTGTTGCAGGTGAGTACAACATTGTATATGTATGTATGTATATATATGTATGTATGTATGTATGTATATATATGTATGTATGTATGTATATATATGTATATATGTATGTATATATATGTATATATGTATGTATATATATGTATATATGTATGTATATATATATATATAGTATATATATATAGTATATATGTATATTATATATGTATATATATATATAGTATATATATATATGTATATATACCTGTATATAGTGTATATATATATATGTA